CCCCCCGCATCTGGGAATGACCACAAACAGACACTTCCATCTTTCCCCACCCTGGGCTGCTTCTGGATATTCGTACGGAACATCTTCCCAGTTTACTGTGCCCAATGTGGCGTGTGTCCAGAAAAGGCCCAAGATGGAGTCTCCAGAGGAGGACAAGGGTCTCAACTCAGAATTTTATTTTTTTAAGTTTTAGTAGAGGTTTTACGGCCCTCACAACTGCATTAGGTCATATGAGCGCCAGTCAGAATTTTTTTAAAGGAGGAACTTTCCGCATGATCGTGACAGAAGACCATTTTCGCGAGACACCCATTATTAATTTATTATACTGTTTAACCTTAGAACAACGACGTAAAAACCATCAATTTATCAAAGCAAGGTTATTTCATACCAATTTGAGGGTTTGGAAAATAATTTCAAGTAGAAGAGTCACTCACCAAATATTTACAATCTTGATAATGAACAGAAAGTGGTGGGGCATTACTGCGAGGTGCCCCTTCCGGCAGCGGAGTTTAGCGGAGGAAATGGTCGTAGCGGAAATCCGCTAGATAGCGGAATATTGAGACCCATGGAGGAGGAAGAGAGGAAGGCCGAGATCCAAACAGGAAGGAAAGCTGTCCAAAGCAATACGCCGGGCTACGCTGCAAACAAACTAGACCCGTGTTTAAACCTATCCGTACGCCCTAGGGTCATTTTGTATCCCCGGGGTTGTATTCTTCACATTTTACAATACTTCTAGTACGAAGATCTCTTTGAAACTTTCAGTATTTCTCAAAAAATCATTTTTACAGACTGCTATGCAAAGCGTACGGATCGGATTAACAAGTAAATTTCCTCTTTGGAAAGTGGTGGCGCAGAGTTCCCCACGTCGTATGGATACGATAGTAAAAGTAAAACACGACGTACGGATAGGGTTAAGTGGTGAAAGTAATTCCAATCTGGCATGAAGCAACGTGCCCACTTTTTCAAAAGTGTGTGTCCCCCCGACATATTGCACCATCTGACCCTCCTCGCCACCCCAGCTTGTCCCACACGACACAACCAAAAAGATAGGAGTACGGTAGTACTAGTGGGTGGTTCGCGGGTGCTCTAGTGTGGTTTGCTCCTTCTTTCCTATCAAACATCTATCGTCTTTATTTTTCTTCTCTCCTTCATTTTAATGTATGTTACTCTCCGTTAACACTTCCACTTTTCAGCACAGATGTCTGTTGACCTATTTGAGATGTAAGTGCCGTAAAACTCTCAATAAAACAAACAATTTCAACGTCGGTGGTCTAGTGGTTAGGCGACCGGGCTTGTAATCACGAGGTTGAAGGTTCAGGGGTTCGAGCCGCGGGCCCGACATTGTGTCCTTGGGAAAGGCACTTTACATGAATTTTCCCCACTTCGCCCAGGTGGGAATGGGTACCTGGCCATAGACAGCGAAAGATCTTGTCAGTATGTTAGTGTTTTACTTTTAGCGCCTATAAATGGCTGCCTCACTGTATGCTTCCCAGGAAGTTGAGGTTGTTTCAGAATGCTCTCAGGTCTGCTGGGGTAATAGTATAGATTGTGAAGCGCATAGAGCTTGCTGTTGAGCGGGGATTTGCGCTACACAAATGTTATCTATTATTATTATTATTATTACTATTATTATAAATTTTAAGTATCAGAGCTGGAGTGTCTTCTCCTGCCAGACGACCCCTGACCTCTGCTAGACGACCCCTGACCTCTGCCCTGGGGACCCCTCCGTCTGTCCTCTCCATGACCTCTGTCCTCGCGACCTTGCCCTCTGCTGACCAGGGGGCCGTCCCTCCCCTCCTCCCTTCCTCTACCACCACCACCGTCTCTCTTGTCCATGCTCCTTTCCCTATCTCTTTTTCCTTCCCCTCCCCTCCCCTCCTCCCTTCCTCTACCACCACCGTCTCTCTTGTCCGTACTCCTACTTAAACTACTCCTTTCCCTATCTCTTTTTCCTTCCCCTCCCCTCTCCCTCCGTTCCTCCTCTCCCCTCTCTCTCCTTCCATCCCCTCCCCTCTCCCTCTGTTCCTCCCCTATCCTCTCTCTCTTTTGTGCCCCTCCCCTC